GGTGCCGGTCCGCCGCGACCCTCGCAGATCCAGCCAGTGCGCAGGCGCACACCGGCGAAACCACACCCGCCCCCGCCGGCCTTTGACAAGCGTTAACCCTTCCCTCCCCGCGCCGCCTGACTGGTTGTCTCTCTGCGCCTGCGCACGGGAGAGAGGCCGGGGACACATCCTGGGGGGAGGCTGCTACCAGCAAAAAACTTTTGAAAGCTGCAGAAATTGGCTTGTGTCAGGTTTAAGTGGCGTGTAGCGTCTTTCTTTTGGTTGCCTCCCGGCAAGCAAGGGGAAGAGAGCTCAGGCGTGCAAAGCGGGCCAGGGATCCAACTGCATAGTGTCTTGGGGGTTTCCTAGGGACTGGCTTGTTGTGGCCTTATTTAGAAACAGGGTTAGCTTGATTGTTGTGCAATTGTGGAAGCTTGGATGATTAATTACAGCATGAAGGTTCACACAGGATGCACTGTATTCTTTGCCTGCAAGGGGGAGGGAGAGAGCAAGGAGGAAGAGAGGGAATATGGGGGAGTGAGAGAATGCAGGGCTTAAGCCAGTACAAGATACGGCATTATTAGAGAGATGGTGCAAATCCTCGGCCAATGCAGATTTCAGGGGCAGTGACACACAGGGGCCCTGCAAATTTGGGTATAGCATTTATCCAATATACTTTCTTACTAATCCATGTTACTCACTATTGTTCCCCCAACCGTGCAGGCCTTCCGTCTGGTTTGGGGTGGGGTTTTTTTTGCTAGCATTGACATGTAGATGCATTGCCAGACCAGTTCAAGGTGACTGCAGCTGTATTCCCCTTCCATGGTCTTGCAATGTCACCTATCCTATATTCCCCATGCAGAAAGTCTTTTAGGTTTAGTCCTCTCTCTTTCTTCCTCGTTATGAGGGCATTTCTATATTGCACAGTTCCCTACCTGCAGAATGAATTCCCCAGCAGGCCTGATAATCCCAGAGAGAGAACGTAATTGCCTACAGCAGAGGTTCGAAAACTTCACTGCACTGCAACCACCTTCTTACAACCAAAAGTTACATGATTCCAGGAGGAAGATCAAAGCCTGAGCTGGTGTAGGTGTGGGAGGAGTGCAAAGCCTTGGCCTGGGGGGGCGAGGGGGGGAGAGAGAGAGAGAGGCTAATGCCACAGCCCCAAGACATCAACCCAACACAGGGGGCTTGTAACCTGAGCTCTGATAACCACAGCTGACACTCTTGGACTTCTTTGGCCCTAGGCAATTGGACTTAGGCTTCAGCCCCAGGAAGTCTAAGCCAGCGGTAGCAACCCAGTGAGGTCCCAATCACAATTTGAGAATGGCTAGTCTATGGTTATCACACTGTTTTTTCTATTCAAATAGTACAGAAAAAAAAAACATGAAAAACAAAGAACCCACATGCATGCTAAGTTTACCAGCGATCACTCAACTTCAGCAAGTGCTCTAGCACTTGAACAGTCCTTGAAACCCCATACTAGCGGTTGTGTGGGGTCACAGGGAAGTAACAAGCCGGTTTCATTACACTTATATCAGAATAAGCATACCCATGACGCTAAATTACTTCCTTATATCCTTTGGCTACTTCTACACTGCCCTCTCTTGCCCAAGAAAATAAGCAAATGAGGCAAAGCAGTGAATATCACCATGCCTCATTTGCATACTTAATGAGCCACCATTTTTGCGCAAGGGGCTTTTGCACAAAAAGGAACTATCTACACTGCTCTTTTTTGTGCAAAAAACCCCTCTTGTGCAAGAGCCATTCTTCCACTTTTTTTCAGGAAGAATGGCTCTTGCACAAGAGGGGGGTTTTGCGCAAAAAGGAATCATAGAATACTAAGACTGGAAGGGGCCTTGAGAGGTCATTGAGTCCAGTCCCCTGCCCTCATGGCAGGACCAAATACTGTCTATATCATCCCATTTATCTAACCTACTCTTAAATATCTCCAGAGATGGAGATTCCACAACCTCCCTGGGCAATTTATTCCAGTGTTTGACTACCCTGACAGTTAGGAACTTTTTCCTAATGTCCAACCTAAACCTCCCTTGCTGCAATTTAAGCCCATTGCTTCTTGTTCTATCCTCAGAGGCCAAGATAAACAAGTTTTCTCCCTCCTCCTTATGACACCCTGGGTACATCTACACTACAGCACTAATTTGAACTAACTTAGTTCGAATTAGTTAATTCGAACTAAGCTAATTCGAACTAACGCGTCTAGAACTAAAAACTAGTTCGAATTAGCGTTTTGCTAATTCGAACTAGCATGTCCACATTAAGTGGACCCTGAACCGGGCTTAAGGATGGCCGGAAGCAGTGCC